CTGCATTGAAAAACAAGGAACTCATGCAATATTATTCAAAATGGGTGACCCTGGAGGACATTATGCTGAGTGAGGTATCTCGGTCACAAAGGGACGAATGTTATATGGTGCCACTGTTGTAGAATGAGGCTGACATTGGGGTGGGGGTAAGACTGAGAAAAACTGAATGCAATATGTTTACAGCATTGAAGTCTATGGGGGAGAGAATAGTCTAAAAGTATTATATTTTAGGGCATTATGTTTATCGTAAGAGTACGGAATGAGGGTTGCAGAGTGGATTATATTTGGGGTTGGGGGTGTGGTTGGGAAATGTGCGGGGGGGGAGGATTGTGCACCAATGAGGGAGTTTTTCTTTTGCTTTTGAAGGAGAGGAGCAAACGGCAAGGTGGGGGTGAGGGGGTGGACGGGGAGAAGGTTACAACAATGAATGAATGGAATTCCAAAATCTCTGTAGATGTTCATTGAAATGAAAAATAAATAAATAATTTTTTTTTTAAAAAAGAGTTCCTTTCTTGCCACATCTCTCCAAAATTTATTACTTGCTGCCCTGTTAAACTTTGCCACTGCTACTAGAATGAGGTAGTATTTCATCTTGGTTTTGATTTGCATCTCTTATTGCCAGTGATTCTGAGTATTTCTTCATGTGGCTGTTGGCCTCGGTGAAAATTCTTCTCATTTCTTTTGCCCATTTTGTAATTGTGTTACCAGTCTTTTTCTTAAGCACCAGACCACCTTCCATAGTGGTTGCACCATTTTACAGTCCCACCAGCAGTAAATAAGAGTTCCAGTTTCTTCACAACCTTGCCAGCACTATTTGCTGCCCTGCTGAACTTTGCTACTATTGCTGGCATGATATGGTATCTCATAGTTGTTTTGAAGATCTCATTACTTTTGCGTCTAGTTTCTGAGAGTTACCTCCTGCCTGAGGCCTGGTAGGCAGTTATACTGAGGGCTATGAGTTCAGGACGAATACATTAGCTAACGCTTCTCTGGGTAACCAATCCCTCAAGCTCATTGCTCTGTTAGCCTCATTCTCAGAGTTTGACAGCAGCTCAGCTATGGACTGGAGGAGCACCAGGTGGGTCACTGGGCCACATCCCTCCGAGACACCTAACATACTTACACGTTTTTATGGGGCAGTAAGCCTTCATTTGGAAGCAGGAGTGGCATCCAATTCCTAAACAACATGCCTCTGGAAACAATATGAACTTTGATAAATGATGATAGTTCTAGAAAGGCTTTAGGCCTTTTGTTCATAGGGTCACTATGAGTTGTGCTTGACTCGAAGGCAATCAACAACAACAACAACTAGAACAGCAAGCCTTCATGTGTAACAGTTTGCAAGAAAAGTTTCACATAGACTCTTCATTCTTTTCACTTGGCTTGTATGCACTTCCTACAAGATTGAGCGGACCCTGGGGGTAGAAATTTTGCTTTAGGTTCTGGTCAGCAAGGGCAATATATGGTTCAAGAGTCAATCAGAATTTGTAATAATGCACATATAACACATAGGTAGATAATTCCATGGGATGCTACTTCCCATAAGGAAGCCTTGTCAGTGTGAACAAATTTTTGTCAGTGAACAAATACCAGCACCAGAAGGCAGAAACCTTGGGCTGCATGCTCACTATTCTTCCAGTACGCAGAGTACTATCTTGGCCACAGTATCATCATCATCATCATCATCTCATTAATGCTGAATCAGACCAACTCAGAGCTGACTCTTCACCAAGTTTCTAGGGCCCTAAATAACACAGGAGGTTACCCGCCTTTCTCCCCAGAAACTGCTAGTGTTTGAACCACGTGAGGTATGGTCTTTGTGTTAGCTGACCAGCTCCCTACACACTATGCACTGTAAGTGCTCAATGAATCTGGATAAACAAATCACGTTGAATCAGGGTCTTCTGGTCCAAGTCCAGGGGATGTTGAGAAGAGCCACTCCTCTCGGTCTACACTTTCCTCCTATCCCTGAAGAAGACTCCAGCACCCTACTTCCCCTGGGTTTCCTTAGACTTACTGTGCTCAGTCCCACCTTGCCCCTCCCCTAGAAGCATGGTACACTTATCCTGGGTACTGAAGAGAGTTGAACCCACTGTCGCAGAGCTGACTGACTCTGATGACCACTTGAGTATCAGAGCACAGTGGTGTTCCACAGCAGTAACTCATGGGCTCCTCCTTCCAAGACCCTTCTAAGCAGAAGTAGGAGAAAAAGTAGAAGTTACTCCTACATTTATTTCCTTGTTCTCAGCAAGCACATCATTGTCCCGCTCTGCTACAACTGGGTGGACACTACCTTTGTCTCCAGCATTGGGAGGTGACCTCCTAGCCTCAAAGTTCTATAAAACTGTATGCTGATCATAGGCTGACCATGATGAGTGCTGACCATATCCCTGCCTCATGGACAGTGTTTCACACTTGATCTGCTGCTACAAGTGACTGTTTTGTCTTTCTTCCTTGATACTGAATTCAAGGACAGGGGTTTGCTGACTAAACAACAAAGCACATACAGGCATTTTGGGCTTGCATCACTGATTTGCAGTAAAAACTCTTCCACTTGCAAACATCAGCCCACTGTTTCTCAACAAGTTTATCAATGAAGCTGATTCACAAGTCTCAGAGTTGTGACCACCAAACTTTCTGTATTTTCATAGTTTCCTGGTTTTGTAGTTTTGGGAAATCAAGGAAGGACATTAAGCACAAAACTCTGAGAAAACCTCTGGACATTACACATCAGCTAAAATACACCAAACCTTCCTGTCATCTTGAAAAGGACTTTCCTCCGGGATCTGGAACCCGACTTGCTTCCCTGAAACATGTGATCAGCTCAAACCGCATGAAAACAACACTTTATTCACACATGAGGAATGAGCTAGTACAAAACACATGTTTCAAAAAACTCACAAAGTGATCAAAATGCCTCTTCTCCCTCAGCCCCTAGCCCACTCTGGCAGATCTGCGTTCCCCTACCATGTGCTAACTGCACTCAACCTTTCTTGCCCCCTTGGAAGAGCTGGAACAGGGGGTCATCAGTCCTAAGGGCAATGGGCAGAGAGCGATGCTGATAGTACTTTGAGTCACATTCCAGATTTTCAATGACATCTGCCAACAGGTGTGCACGCTCCACCGCAGAGCCTGGGGCCTCGAAGCCCAGGGCAGTGAAGTGCACGTGCAGGTGAAAGTAGGAAGGCAGGTAGTGCAGGTACACCCGGAGGCAGCTCCCCTTCAGCTGGTAGCGCTGCAGAATGGCTTCCTAAGGAGAGAGATGAGAGGAGAAGTGTCACAGTCAGCAAGCAGGTCACGGCCTCCCAGCAAGAGCCCTGCTGTCTTAACCCTGAACTACACGACCTACCTCTGAGGCATAATGATCTGCTTCTAAAAGGTCAGAGCTGCAGAGCAGTTCTCCCCAGTACTCATGAGGTCATGGCCATGAGACCCAGCAGACCCCTCAGAGTGGTTCTCCGGGGTACTCATGGGGTGATGGCCATGAGACTCCACAGAGGAGTTCTCTCCAGTAATCATGGAGCCATGGCCTCAGCATGCCCAAGAGAAGACCCCACATTCCCAGGGCCATAGACTGTCATTGAGCAGGAGGGAGGGGCTTCATTCCCTCTAGAACAGAGTGGAGCTTGGAGACAACGGAAGCAGAGATAGAGCTGAGCTGAGGCCTTTGTGAAGAGAAGGGGAAGAAGAGGGAAGGCAGCTTCTCATGCTAGTGGACAGTGATTCACAGCAACTCAGCATGTGTCAGAATAGAAATGGAGTCCACAGAGTTTTCCGTGACCCTTCTGAAACAGACTGCTGGGCTCTTCTTCTGAGGCACTTCTGCATGGATCCAAACCTCTGACCTTTTAGTGAGCAGTGAGCATGTTAACTGTTTGCATTATGCAGGGTCTTCCAGACAGACTTGTTATTGTGGTTATCAGGGCCAAGTCAAGTATGACTCATAGTGACTCTCTGAACAGCAGATCTGAACCCTATCCTATCCTATGCCATCCTCATCATCTCTGACACACGAGTCTTTTGCAGCAGTCACTGTTCAATCTCTCTTTGGGGGTCTTCCTCTCTTTTGCAGACCCTCCACCTTTCTAAGCATGATGTCTCTCCTGACAACATGCTCAAAGTATGTGAAATAAAGCTTTGTCATCTTTGCCTCAAAGGATTACTCTGGCCACACTTTTCCAGGACATATGTTTGTTCTTTTGGAAAGGTATAAGCTGGAAAAAGTTTAGTTTGGCCCTGGCTCTTGAGGCCTGACACTTAAGAAAAACACTGATTTCCACTGAAGTCAGAAGTAAAAAGAAAGAGATAAGAGACTCAAGGAACTTGGAATTCATAGCAGAACCTATTCTCCACTGCTGCAGGGCAAGGCCTGTCTGCTAGGGTAAGGGTCCTGAACTGCCAGGCAAATCTGAAGTTGGCCCAGCAGCCCCCCAGGAGGGGGGCATTATTCTCTGCCCCCCTGGGAGCCAGACACTGTGCCATGAAAACATGAGCAGTATGTAAAAAGACAAGGCAGCAAGAGAGACAGTGATGTGGGCAGACAGCCATGAGGGGTGGGGAGAAGGATGAGACAGGCTCAAGATGGAGGCTGGGGTCAGAGGTCAGAGAAGACCAAGGCAACCTTGCCTCTTTCTTCTCCAGGTTGGCACTGAAATCTTAAAGAAGCAGCTGGCAGAAAGGGGCACCAAGCTCTCCTGGTCTGGCTTCCTTTTAAGTGTTCTGGGCACTAAAGTCTCCAGGTGAAAACATCAAAAGTCAACCCGTAGACTGGTGAGTGGAGAATACTAACGTTTAAAGAGGAAAATGATCCACCTCTGCCTGAGCAATTGGTTAGGATCAGAATTACAACAGTTTGCAGCCCAAGATTCTACACTAGTCTCCCAAGCCGCCCCAGCTCGAACTCACTCTGTGGAGTCCATTGCCCCTCAGACACTCACATTCAGAGACAGTCATCGGGTCTGTCAATCTTAGAACTGTCAACAATCTAGCTAGCAGTCCGATGTGTCGCTTCAAGGCTTCTTGGGGTTCCTTTTACCTCCTCTGATTTCACTGCATTCATGAAGTACCCCAGAACTCTGTCCTTGATCTAGAGAACCACTATAGGTATATGTGACACAGCAGACACAGCATGGCTATCACCAGGAGGACAAGTAACTTGTGGAGCAAGAACTGTGAGGCCAGCAGTGACATGGAGAACCTCTGGGAGGGGTCAGGCCTTCAAATAAGGTTCTATGAGGTGGTGAACACAAGTGCACTCCAGAACAGTGAAAACCCTCATGTCCCTATGCCAGGGAGAGGTAAAATCTAGGTGGTGTCACCTGGTAAACAGGCTTGTCTTCTGAAGCACCTGGCACCACAGTGAAGCCTCTCCAGGACAAGTGGTTAGGGCCAGTGAGGCCCAGGGTCTGAATGTAACCTCCTGTTCTGGAGGTGGATCCCGCCAGGTGATTCCCGCCCGGTGACTCACCTGTCCCTCTAAGAGGATGTTCCTGAGCAGAGGCAGGTGTTCCGAAGTAAGGTCTCGCAGTGACCTGACATCCCGGCGGTGGCAGATGGCAATCAGATACAGATCATCAAGCTAGCAAAGACAGGAAGACTAACTGTGAAGGGAGCCAGCTTCAACCAGCCAAGGTCGCCACTCCCAGGACAATCCCTAGTGTCCATTCCCAGGGGACAGCAGTAGCCAGGCAGTGTGGGCGTCCTTATGCCCAGGGTGAGGAAGTGAAGCCCAAGTGAGGCCCAATGTCCAGAGTGAAGAAGGGAGGCTCAAGAAAGAACCAAGGTAAATCTTTCTAGTTTAGAGTCCCAGAGCAAGTATAAGAAACATGCTATAAGACACAAAGTCTTCAAATCCAGGTAGAGTGAAACTCTAGGGTGCACAGTCACGGAAGGTTTCAAAGAAGAGAGGCAGGAGTCTGGGTTTGGAGGTGAAGGGAGAGAAAGTGATGATGGTGAGGGTTCAGAGGTAGGAAGACACAGGTAGGTCCTGTGGGCTGAACTGTACCCTGTAAAGGAAGCATGAGGACCCCAGCTCTAATCCTGTGGTGACAGTGTGCTGTCATGCAAACAACACTGTGTTCTGGGTTCTGCCACTCCCTCCCTAACCAAGTATTTTTATAAATGTGGTATGCTAATAATTTTTTATAGCAACATGTAAAAAAAAAGGATAAGGGATGAACAGCAGTCATTGCAAAGTGCATTTTGTTGACATCAATGAGTATGCTAACCTTGCTCACTTCTGAGTTCTAGCAAGAGAAGAGACGACATGGAGGGAAGGAGGCAGGCAGAGCCAATGGGTCACAGGGCATAGGAGCATCAGGGACAAGCAAAGGAGCAAAGGACTCTTGGAGCTACCCTACAGAGGAATTTACAGCCAAATCTTGATTTAGACTTTCAGCTTTCTGTTCTATAAAACCACCCACCCACACACTTACGGTATTTCTTTTATAGCCACACTTCTTCTTGTGTGCCAGTGAGTCAAAATCAACACATAGCAGATCCTCTGCAGGTTTTTAAAGGCAGTAAAACACACAGAAAGAGACTGCCCATCCTTCTCCTGTGGAGCAGCTGGTGGATTTGAACCATATACCTTTGGATTAGCAGAACAGCTCCTTACCACTAGACTACCAGAGTTCCCTGTAGCCACAGTATGACATGCTAGCTCAAAAGCTCTAGCAGCTCAAATTCACTAGCAGTTCCACAGGAAAAAGATGGGCCCTCTCCTCCTAGGAGATTTGCAGCCTCAGAAAGCCAAGGGATTGTCAGCTATGAGTGGACAGACTTGCTGGCAATGAGAGGTGGATAAGGCACCATGTAAAGAATAGAAAAGACACAGTGAGGTGTCTTCAATAAAGGCCTGTGAAGATTTAGGGGGTTGAGGAAAGACAGGAAGCTGGGACCACTCAGCAATAGGCATGCAGAGTGGTCAGTCCATCTCTCTTCTCTCTCAGGGAGTTCACAGCATCATTCCTGCCAACACAATCAAACAAAAACAAGGTGCCAGAGGACACTGAGCTCTTCCTCAGCCAGGGAAAACCCACCTCTCAGCCAGCCCTGGCCTGGGTTGTCATGTGCATGTGCAAGGCGTGCCAGGAGACACCCTCCTCCACCCTCTGCCCCATTCAGCCCTGGGCTGAGTTGTCACATCCATTTGTAAGGTGATCTGGGAGCACCTCTCTACCCCCTCACCCAGCCCTGGTCTGGGCTGTCACATCCACATGCAAGGCATGCCAGGAGACGACCTTTCTACCCCTTCACCCAGCCCTGACCTGGGTTGTCATGTCCATGTGCAAGGTGTATCAGGGAATATACTCCTGCCTACTCAGCCATGGCCTGGGGTGTCACATGGGTGTGCAAGGTGGGCCCCAGATATTGGGCTCTGAGGATAGCCTAGGACTTCTGACAACAGGGAGCCTCAGGCTACTTGGTTGCTAGGTTCCATGTGGAGAATAGTTTTGAGATAATGGGTCACTCAACCAAATCCAAAGTCCCTGATTTAAAAGCTGAGGACAACTTTTTCCATATGATTCCATATCACAGCCTCTTCACGGACTCTTTTCTGTCAGGGTCTTCTAAGGCTGATCTCTCAGGGTCAGGCCTGTGGCCAGTGGGCCCTCAGGGAGCTCTGGGCTATGCTCACTGCTGCCACTGGATCCTCCTTTCTCATGGCCTGTGCCCAGGAAATCTATTCTTTGACGATTTTTGTGTGCTGCTGAGTCAGAAACGACTCAGAGCTGACCAGCAGGTTTTCAGAGGCAGTAAATCATACAGAAGGAGACTGCCCATCTTCCTCCTGAAGAGCCATTGATGGATTTGAACCATGTGCCTTTGGGGCCAAAAAGAAATCAGAAAACAAGGTCAACATTCACACCTGGGTGTGTGTGTGTGTGTGTGTGTGTGTGTGTGCGCGCCCCACTCATACATCAGAAAACAAGGTCAACATTCACACCTGGGTGTGTGTGTGTGTGTGTGTGTGTGTGTGTGTGTGTGTGCGTGTGCCCCACTCATACTGGAGTGTTCCAGAGGGTTTTTAATGACTAGGTTTTTTCTACAGCCCTCTGTGT